TCTACAGGACTTGGTCACTCACTGGATGTGGGATTTGGGATGGGGGTGCCAGTGAAGGGTCAAGTCTTTGATGGTAACACTTTATAAAGTGAATACAGAGAATAATCTGTACTTTGGAGAAAAGATAAGTATAGTTTTTAATATGTTGGATTTACTATATACATGGAATACTCAAATGAATGTATTTCTTAAAAATTATACCTTGAATCATGCTAAAAGTCACTGTAGAAATTTATACAAAAAGAAATAATACAACAGGATAAAAAGATAGAAGAGGAAATCAGGTTGAAGAGATTATTTTTCCTTGGGAGACCTCCCCTGAATTGCTACCACCCCTATTGGGTTAACCCATCTGTGTGTTTTTATAGCACCTTTATTTCTCTCATCACAGCACTTATTCATAGCTCTGTTACAATTATCAGTGTAATGTGAATGCCATTAGGGCATTATCCTTATCGGTATAATACGCCTTTGATCTCCATCACCTAGAACAAAATATAAAATTAAACAATGAGTAAATAAACAATCTTATTTAATTTTCTTAATAGACCTAGGGAAAGGGAATGGACATTCACTAGAAATAAGGCTCAGGTATCTCTGACTATGAAGTTCATGCTTTTGTCCACAGCACCTTGTCACCTACCTAGTTAAATATAGGACCATGGTCCTATAGGAGGTGCCTCAGACCTGTGATCCTAGTACTTTGGGAGGCCAAAGCAGGAGAATCATCTGAGTCCAGGAGTTCAAGACCAGCCTGGACAACAGAATAAGACTCCATCACTACAAAAAAAATGTTTTTTAATTACCTGGGCATGTATAATTTTTTTTAAAAAGTAGTGCACCTATATAGCCCCAGTTACTGGGGAGCCTGAGGTGAGAAGATTGCTTTAGCCCAGGAATTCAAAGCTGCAGTGAGCTATGATTGAATCAGGGCACTCTAGCAGGGGTGACAGAGCAAGACTCTGTCTCAAAAAAAAAAAAAAAAAAAATTAAATAAAAATAAAGAAGATACGAGGCCAGATGTAGTAGTTCATGCCTGTAATCTCAGAACTCTGATTAGGAGTTTAGGAGCTTGAGACTAGCCTGAGCAAGAGGAAGGCCCTCTCTCTAAAAATAGCCAGTGTTGTGGAGGGCACTTACAGTCCCAGCTTCTCAGAAGGCTGAGGCAAGAGTATCGCTTAAGCCCAAGACTTTGAGGTTGCCACGAGCAATGACACCAAAGCACTCTACAGAAGGCAACAAAGTTAAACTCAATAAATAAATAAATGAATAAATAAATCAGAGACAGATAAATCAAAACAATTCAGAAAAAGGATATCCAAGACTTGAAGGAACATATCACAAGGAATTGCTGTATAAACCAGCAATGTCTGGACTGAAAAGATTGTGGGAGAAATCCTAGACAAGTAAATCCTGTGTGCCTGGCTTGAGTTAGACTCTAAGGACATACACAGTATAGAAATAAATGACTCTTATGTTAGAGATGTTGCTGAAGGAGGGCCACGTGTTAGAAGTTATAGAAACAGACTTTGTTGCCAATATAAGGAAAAGTTTTCTATCAAAGTTATTCAAAAACAAGAGTTGCCTGAGATACAGTGAGTGCCTTGTCACTGGACTTTTTAAAGTCTTGGTCAGTTAAGGATAGACAAAGATGGTAGAGGACACTTTAGTGTTGGAAATGCTAGTGGACTAGCTGGCTTTTGAGTTCTCTTCAACGCTGAGGTGGTGTTATTCCTCACAACAAAGGAAAGTCAGAAGGATCTTCAGTAATTAACTAGGGAAGAGATTTCCTATCAAGATTGTATATCTTTTTACCCAGGTAAGAGGAATAGCACAGCATAAAATGGGCATATCATTTTAAACAAATCCTGCCATTAGCTTTATCCAGTTTCCACTACTCTTACTTCCTTATGCTTTAAGATCTTACTTTGGCTTCTCTTGTAGACTTTGTCGCAGGATGAAAAATGATCCAACTAGCTAGCTAGAATATTCCAGCCACTTAGCAGTTAGATTTTTTAAGGGAAAGTAATGAATCCAACGCTCAAGTTAATAAGTATGTTCTAAGTTAGTTGTTGTAGATCTGCCTAACCATGGTGAAATGCATACTAAAATTGCACTGCCGGCCTGATGAGCTGAGGATCAAACTCTGAATTTTAGTGATCCACCAGTGTCCCCTTCACTTGCTTAAAGCAAATGCCTGAATGTCACACACACTGGATAACAAGTTGGGAATGTCTTTACTCCCTTTAATTTATGCCAACATTAATAATAATAACTAACAGTGACAATGGAGAACATACTGTAACAAAATGAGCTATTAAGAAATTGAACTAATTTTGTTTTAACTTGATTTTATTATTTGCTACTGTAGACAAATCAGGAAGCAATAAAATGTAACATTCCCTTTCCTCCCCAAATTATCTGAGTCCTTGGGTTTCTAGGGGTCATGAAATTTTATATGGGAAATGCAGTTAGGTTCTTAATGTTGTTTGTTGGTTGAAATGGGGAAATCAGGTATATTCCCACGGACTTGGAAAAACAAGAATTTATTTTTCCTTGGGGATGGAGAACTGAACCTGCTTGTACCACCCTCTCTGAGATGGCAGAACCTGGATAGGGTTGGATGCGGGGAAGTTGGTGCATTCTCAGCACTAGGCTTGGGAACCTGTAAGAGGAGTCTTGAATTTTCCAAGATAAAATGGAGCTATTGCAGATCCATGTTCCCTGCACCCCCTCTATCCCTCGGAGCTGGACAAACAGACCTAGGGGTAATTAGATGCGGCATTAACTAGGACACTGGCTCCCCAACAGTGACATCGTGTGGTCATAAGGCACAATAGCAGCAGAGATATACCCCTGATAGAAACTGTACAATCTAGGGAAGGGGAGGATGACTAAAAAACTGATAACAGACTTCCCACCAACTGTGGCAGGTGGAGGCTTAATCTCCTCTCACTGTATCGATAAAAATAAAAAATGTTACATTATTTGAACTCAAGGGTCAAGAAATAATTCATTTATATAATCCTGGTCCCAATATTTATCTAAACTATACCCTCTCAGTCATTACCCTTGTTTTTAATCTATTTTCTTTGCTTCAGAGCCTTTTCTGGCCCATATATTTATTTGTTTTTTACTTGTCTCCTTCTACTATAATTTAACTCTATGAAGACAGGAATCTTGTCTTTCATTTGTGCCACTGTACCCTCAGGTTTTAAAATAATGCCTGGGTTTGGGCATGAGGGCTTCACACCTGTACTTCTAATACTTTGGGAAGCCGATGTGAGAGGATTACTTGAGACCAGAAGTTCAAGACAAGTTTGGGCAACACAAAAAAATTAAAAATTAGCTGGACATGGTGCATGCCTATAGTCCTAGTTACTTGGGAGGATGAGGCAGAAGGATTGCTTGAGCCCAGGAGTTGGAGATTACAGGGAGCTATGGTCACACCACTGTACCCTGATCAAGGCAACAGAGTTGAGTAATTTGATGAATTAATGGGAAAATGAATTATGTGCCTGAAATTTGTGGAGCAGAAACTGTGCTCCAGGCATTGTGCTCAACACTTGATTCATCTTTGCAATGACCTCATAGGCACCATTATTATCCCATTTTATAAAGGAATTGAGAACCTAAACTACTTCCCATTGACCTCTACTGCTCCTCAGAATTCCTATCTTCCATCTCACTATTGACCATTCCCAAAAACACTTCCTAAACATCTCCACCTATCTTCCTTCGGATTGGCTCCTGCCCCTTCCCTGCTTGCTCCCCAAATAACCCACATATAATTCTTGCTGCATAGAGTCTGGAACACAATAGGTATTCAAAAATGTTTTTATATGACAGTGATAGAATGGAGGGCAGGTGACCATACTCCTGATCCTTAGGCAGCCCTCTCCCACTGCTCACTTTTCTTCTTCCATGATATTCTTGCTTTAACTGCAGGAAACTATCCACAGGCCCTCATGAGAATCTGCTGTGTGCCTGGCACAGTATTTGAAATATTTCTGGAAAACACAGAAATAAATAAAACAGTCCCTACAGCAAGGGAAACATGGTCTAGTGGCATGGGGGTAGGGGTAACCACAAACAATCCCAATTAGTGCAGTTAGCACTGGGTGTACAAGGAAGCTAGGAAGAGAAGCACCTAGCCCAGAAACAAGTGTGGCTATGAAAATGGGCAAGGACCAAATCACAAAGGGCCTTGAATACATGTATAACTTCAAAGAGTTTGGTCTTCATTCTGAATAAGGTGGGGAGACATTGAAAGGTCTGAATCAGGACATTGATATGATCAGATTGGCAGTTTAAATATGTTTATCTATCAGGAGAAAGGCAAGGCCTGAAACATGGGTATTAAAAAAAGTGGACAGAGGGCAGAGGTAAAATTAACAGGATAACTGTTTCCATACAGGGAGATATAAGAGTCCTTGTTGGTTCAAAGTTTCTCTGTGGATGATGGTGCCTAGGACTAAAAGTTCTCAACCTTGCATATTGAATAGGAGCTCAATAAATAAATGTTGAATGAAGTAGAAATTAAAGACAGCCAATAGATTGCTACTTTGGGGAATATTTTTCAATATTCCCCACTTTCAGCTCAAGACAGTGGTGTAGGTAACTGTAGGAGGAGCCAGGAGTGAATGTCAATCAAAAAGTACCCAAAGAGAGAAGGGAATTCTGGAATATCTAGCTTTTAAGAGGTGTTAGAAGAAAAAAAGACTAACAGGAAAACTATTAGTTTACGTTTATTAAGCACCTACAGCCCAGGACTGTACTGAATGATTTTAAAAATTGCATCTATCTCCAGGAGAGATGTGTTTATGGAACAAGTAGCCAGCAGGATATTTCTATGGATCACTAGAGTAGAGCTCAGGATTCATACAAAGCAGAGAAATCTAAATGACCTATTTGACATTCAAACCACATTCCAGATTTGAACATTTGTCTTATTCCTTCTACTTCCTTCCCCACCTGCACCCCTTCGCATTGAGTCTGGATAAGGTGACATTGCTTTTATTGATGGTGAGGGCAAGCAGATGTGAGTGGATGCATCTCTTTTAGAGGACAAGGGGCACTGGACTTAAGGAAGAAGGAAGGGAGAGTCAGCGAGAGGCAGTTGATGCAGGATTCGCTCCTTATTAGGGAGTGAGTGCTGCCTTCTAAAAGGGATTTATTTTGGGATAGGCATAGGCATAGAGAAAGCAGGCAGCGCCAGCCATCAGGCTGCACTCTCTATTTGTTGCAGAGCCTCTTTGGCAGCCTCAGGTCTCCCGGGATCTTCCTCCGGGTCCTGCGGAGGCTCTGGCTCTAGGGTGGACTCCAGCGCAGGCTGGGCTTCGGGCTGGCCTTCAGCGCTCCGGCCAGGCCCAAGACGAGGCGGCTTGACTGGTGTGGGCAGTGGCGCTGCAGGGCCTTTCCGGCCCGAAAGAGCCCTTCGCAGGCTCTGTACCTTCTGCAACCCGGTGCGCCGCAGCCGCCGAGCCCGGGACTCCAAGGGCTCCTCGTCGGAGCTCTCTTCAACTTCAGCCTCTTGCTGCTCTGGGCCCAGCTCGGACTGGTCTGCTGACGTCAAGGGCTCCGGTGCTTTCTGGAAGGCGCTGGCTGGAATCTCAGCCTCCTCCTGCAGTGACAGACACAGCACTGACTCTGGGGCTGCATACCCTAGAGTGGCTTGAGACTCACTCCTTAATTACACTAGGGGAAGCCTCCTCGCACTTTACCTCCGCAGCCAGAGTGGGAAAGAAAAGGCGGGCGTGTAAAGGTAGAGGGGGCCGCGGAGTAAAGAGGGAGGGAGAACTGCATTAGTTTGTAAAGTAGGTGAGACGCGGTGAGGGAAGTGTGTCGGAATCACTCAGAGAATACACTATCACCACCGTTATTTCAGGGACTGAGACCAAATTGTGCGGACGTGGCCAGAGGTGGAGCAGGTCGGGCCTGGATTGGCCAGGTTGGGCTCAGCCGTGTGAGGCAGGGTAGAGGCTAGGTTGTGGGAAGTGGGTGCGCTCTGGAAGTCTGTTTCCACCGCAACGGAGGGGGGCTGAGGTCAGGAATGTGGGTGGGGTAGACAGATGGGAAGAGGGAGTCCCCACACAGTGGCCCTGAGCCCAGGAAAAGCCCCGGATGGCGGTGGGGGAGGGACACCTGAGGTCACTGACCTTGAAGAGCAGAACGTGGAGCTTCCCGCGCGCCACCAGCAGCCCGTGGTTAGCTTCTAGCTGCCGCACCTGGGCTGCGCGACGCACCGCGCGCTCCTGGGCGGCGTCGGCGTGCGAGCCCACGCGCTCCGCCTTGGCCAGCAGCTGCGCCAGAGTGTTGCTGGTGGTGTCGTGGCTGCGGCTCAGCGCGCCCAGGCTGCTCTGGATGCGACGCACGGAGCCGGCCAGGCCGCCTTGCCTCTGAGCGAGGCCGCCCTGCCGTTCCCGCAGCGTCTCCAGCATGGTGGCCAGCTTCTCCAGCAGAGTCACCACCGTCACCGCGTGCACCGGGCCCCCAGCCGGTGCCCCGGGCACAGGCCCCGGCTCCAAAGCGCTCTCCCCCATGGTCCCTGACCGCCGGGCGCGCTCAGCCTGCAGCCGCGGCTACACTGTGGACTGGGGCCGCCTTTCCCCGGCTCCTCCCCAGCTCCAGCCGTGACTCAGGCAGGCGGAGTTGGCCTGCTCCGCCGGCAGGAGGGCAGGGGGCGGGATGTGGACTGCCGGGTCCTTTGGAGGCACTCCCCCTTCTGCGGCCCAACCCAGGGGACCCACTGGGAAGCAAGGTGACCCCAACCAGCTCCCCGCAAACCATCTCACTCTGAGTTTGAGTTCACCTCCGCTCCTAGTGTGCCCTTTTCTGGAAAGTATACTCCCTACCCCAAAGGGCGAGTCACGGAAATTTTTATTTCACGCTTCCAGTGGACACAGAAAGTACGTTAGGACGGTAAAAGAGATAACTAGAGGGGCTTCTGCTGCCGCCCACTCGCCCACCCTGGGCCTCCACATTGCCGAAGATTGTAATTTCGCCGCCCCCACGCTGGGCGCGGCAGCGGGGCGGCCCTGGAATGTTCCGCTACAGCGGCCCCGCTTTGTGACTGGACTGGCGGCACAACGTGGGCTGGCGGGCGGGGCATCCTCTGGTATTTTCCTAGCAGTCAATGCCAAGGTTTAGCCGCAGGCTACAGGCTTCCTTTACTTCCTGTTTATTTCTTTTCTTTTCTAGCGTTACCCTGTTTTCTTTCTCTAATTCTCTTTATTCTCTTGTTTTGGGTTTTACGAGTAAACCAACTCCTAGCTTCCGCACCCGAGCTTAGGGAACAGGCAGGACACCTCTTCCTTTAAAACCGTTAAAAGGATTAGGGGAGGTACTGATACATCTTGGTTTTGATGGAGGTTGGTTGCAGTTCCTGCCTGATGTTTTTTTGTTTCTCGTTTTTTGTTCTCTTTGGAAATCGGTAATGTTATCTGCCAGAAGTTCGAAATTGCTGCTGTAGAGAGGGAGAGAATGAACATAAAGGGTCCATTTAATCACGTGGATCATGAATTTGAAATGTCATCAGTTTGGGAAACCCCATGCTTTGTCTTTCACAATACTCTGCAAGCCATTTGTATTATAATCTCACAACAAATTCAACAACAATTCACAACAAATTCACGTAATCTGTTGAGCCTGATGCTGCTCCCCTTCTCCTCACCCAATCTGTGAGGGCCACCTGATAACAACTGTGGAAAGAACAGTGTCATTCAGGAAATAGTTACATGGACGTCAAAGGACCCAAGGTCAAAAACAACAGACAATGGGCAAAACCCACAAATCTAGCGATGCTAAGTTGTTGCCTGACTTAAGAGAAAATGGATTCACCTGGGATCCTAGTGGAATCACCATCTCTTTCAGTGAAACATTTGCTGGGAGACAGCCATCAGGGACGTGCCAGTTAAAATGCTTTCAGACTGAGGGGACAAAAACTGAATTCAAACAGCTCTCAGTAACAGGAAACCCAATTCAAACGTAACTGGAAAACACTATTGGCAGTGATGATTAAGTGTTGAGTCAGTCACAGCTCCAAGTATGGTCCTTTACAGTTCTCTCAACTGCTCAACTCTAAGTCCCATCCCCCAGTCCCATTCCCCATCTCCCACCCTTATTTCTGTTCTCTACACACGCACACACACACTCTCACACACTTTCACACATACAGGTGTCAGCTTCGTTTTCAGGTTGGGAATAAGGCAGCAACAGCAGTTCTAGGCCTCACATTTCTGCACAAGATCTAAAACAGTGGTCCTCGACCTTCCTAATGCTGTTGTAGTGACCTTCCTTATGTTGTAGTGACCCCCCAACCATAAAATTTTTTTTGTTGCTACTTCATAACTATAATTTTGCTACTGTTATGAATTGGAATATAAATATCTGATATGCAAGATGTATTCAGGTGACCCCTGTGAAAGGGTCGTTCAACCCCCAAAGGAGTCGCAACCCATAGGTTGAGAACACTGACCTAAAAGAAAGAGAATACCATCTTGAAATTTAGAACACTTATTTCCCGGAACCCCCCCTGGAATTTTTCCACTTGCTTCCACTGGGTAACATGGCCATTCCAGACTCAAATTCTGTGGCTATGAAAGTGTCATACCATACATTGATGGGCTTAGGCCCGAGTTCCTTAACCAACCACTGACAAGAGAGCTTATAATTATCTTTTGACAAATTAGGTCCACTTCTAGAGAAGGATAGATTTGGCCTCCTCAGTGGCATATAAGTGATATGATAGGAAAAGGATATCTGTACAAGAATCTGAATATCCTTAGGAATGGGTAGTCAATCATAAATACATACCTGCTTCAGGAAGCCTAAGAAAGAATCACCAGCCTTGAAGAGTAGCACTAAAGGGAGTCCAGCACATGTGGAAGCAAGAACAACTAGGCTAGTTAACCTGGTTTTTATTTTCATAAGACAGCCTACTACTGAATGAACAGACATTTTTAAAAGACCTGCTAAATCCCTCCATGGAATGTAGAACAACGAGGACCTTAAAATCCAGCAATAAAGCTAATGCTAGTTCTGCCAGTCTGCCCAAAACCTGAAGTATAAAAGCAACAGGAACTGGCTGATATTGGGAAATGGAAGCCCATGAGGTGCTTCTGGGCAACCCAGAAGAAGCTAAGTCAACAAAGTCCAGATTGACAGAAATTATAGTAGGGTAAACTTGATCATCCAGGAGTACTCAAGGAAAAATGAGGTTGCAGTTTCAAATAAGAGTAAGAAAAGAAGAAAAAAAAACAAGGATGCAGTGTCCTCTGTTAAAAGATAAATTTAGGCATGTTAAAATTTTAGAGAATTTATTTGAGCTAAGAACAATTCATAAATTGGACAGTACTCAAAAATAAAACAGGTTCAGAGAGCTCTGTTGCAGCAACACGGGCAGTGAACTTGTATAGGTGAAACGTGGAAGTAAGACAAAATACACAGTAGAACCTTGGTAAGTTGACCACCCAACTGACTGTAACAAACTGGTTAGTGTAAGGAGGTTGTCAACATAGGAACTAGGCCTACTGTACTGAAATATATACATGGCAACTGTCTGGTCTATGAAAATTAGATCAACTTGAGGTGGTCATTGTAGGGAGGTGGTCAACTACTGTATTTGATTCATTAAGAGTGGATAATCCCTAGATAGAGGTTAACTGGTGGTCTCTGATTAGTAAAGTCTCTGGTTTCACTTTCCTGTTTACACTGAGCTTTGGTTTGCTTATGTAGGAACCCAAAGTGCTGGAGGTGTCTCAGCCTTACAGCTTCCCAATTAAAATATTTAATGCCTCAAAAAAAAAAAAAAGGAGGGGATGGCTTCTGTCATGAGTGGCACACATGGGGCAACTCAACTGCTCTGTGTGCAGAATCAACATCAAGAGATTTTGAAAGCATAATTTTTTGGTATCTGGGCAGGTGGTAATCATTGGTCCTGGCGTCCATGCAAGAAAAAAAAAAAAATGTAATGCCTTGGGCAGTGCCCATAGCTCAAAGGAGTAGGGCTCTGGCCCCATATATGGGAGGTGGCGGGTTCAAACCCAGCACCGGCCAAAAACTGAAAAAAAGAAAAAAAAAGGAATGCCTCTAAGGCAGTGATTGTAGTATAAATATGTCTATCCTCTAAACCAGGGGTACTCAAACTTTAAACAGGGACCAGTTCACTGTCCCTCAGACCTTTGGAGGGCTGGACTGCAGGCCCCGGGACGAGTCAGCTGCTAAGCAGGACAGGCATCAGCAGCAAAAACACCCAGTGGGCAGGATAAATGTCCTCAGCTGGCCTCATGTGGCCCACGGGCCATAGTTTGAGGATGCCTGCTCTAAACCAAGGCTGTGGCTAAAATCCATTCCCTCACACCCCTTAGTGGGGAAAAGTGGAAACCTATTATTTTCTTTCCACATGAAAAGTGGAAACCTATTGTTGTAAATTGATTATGTCCCCAAAAAGATATGTTCAAGTAGTAATCCCTGGTATCATTGTATACAGTTTTATTCAGAAATAGAGTGTTTGTAATCAAGTTAGGGTGGATTAGGGTGGACTCTTCATCCAATTGGACTAGTGTCCTTACATTAATGAGTAGAGACACTTATGGGAACCCCATGCAATGACTGAGGCAGAGATCAAAGTTATTCTGCCACAAACCAAGGAACACCTGGGAGCAACCAGAAACTGAAAGAGACAAGGTAGCATTCACCTCTGGAAGCTTTGATAGAACAATGGTCCTGCCAATACCTTGATTTTAGACTTGCAGTAGAACATAGACAACTAAACTAATAGTTGCCCAGATAGAATGAGTCTTGCAAAAATTATTGAAATGTTATGGTAGTGGATGCTTTAAGGAATTGAAACAAAGATATTTCATACCCTGCTTGTCAAAGCCTCACTTGCTTGCTCTTCTGCCACTCATCTCTTGCTAAGTCATGGACTGGTACTAGTCCACCATCCAGGGGTTGGGAACCACAGCTGTAGATGGTATTATTCAGCATCCTCGTTTTCTTTCGTCTTTTTGCTGTGTCAGGTGCCTCACTATATAAGGTTGCACTCCTAAAACAAAAGTGGCAGAGCCACTCAAAGGGATGAGTGTGTGCCATTAGGTTCAAGGACTATCTACAAGGGATCCAGCAGACAGGGATTACCCGGACTATCAGTGCTTAAACCCATGACAGGTAGTAAAACATGTGTGTAATGCCTCCCATTGCAACAAAGAACGGTTAATAGACATTTGTATTTTAGAGTCAGCACATGCTCAACCTTGGAATTTTTACACATTTTATATCTTGAGTCATCTAAAAGTGTACATAGTTTTCATAGGATTGAGAGGAGCCTCAGTGACTGATGCTGGCCAGTTACAAGCCACAGTCTGGTCATTTCTAGGGCTTGGGCCCAATAAGTCAGAAAGTTGAGGCTGGAAGCCTTGTGATTTCTGCATCTCCCACTAAGATTATTTCCGAGAAGAAAGGAGCACCTTAGGATTTTGGACCTGCTTTAGCAGCTGCCTTTTTTAATTTTTTATTTTTTAGACAGAGTCACCCCCAGTAGAGTACTAGGACATCATAGCTCACAGCAACCTCAGACTCTTGGACTCAAGTGATTCTCTTGCCTCAGCCTTCTGAGTAGTTGGGAGTACAGGTGCCCACCACAATGCCTGGCTATTTTTAAAGACTGGGTCTTACTGTAGCTTAGGCTGGTCTCAAACTTGTG